TGTACACTATAAACACTACAGTATCACATGTACAGTATAAATACTACAGTATCACACGTACAGGATAAATACTACAGTATCACATGTACTGTATAAACACTACAGTATCACATGTACACTATAAATACTACAGTATCACATGTACTGTATAACTACTACAGTATCACATGTACAGGATAAATACTACGGTATCACATGTACTGTATAAATACTACAGTATCACATGTACAGGATAAATACTACAGTATCACATGTACTGTATAACTACTACAGTATCACATGTACTGTATAAATACTACAGTATCACATGTACAGGATAAATACTACAGTATCACATGTACAGGATAAACACTATAGTATCACATGTACAGGATAAATATTACAGTATCACATGTACTGTATAACTACTACAGTATCACATGTACAGGATAAATATTACAGTATCACATGTACTGTATAACTACTACAGTATCACATGTACACTATAAATACTACAGTATCACATGTACAGGATAAATACTACAATATCACATGTACAGTATAAACACTACAATATCACATGTACACTATAAACACTACAGTATCACATGTACAGTATAAACTACAATATCACATGTACACTATAAACACTACAGTATCACATATACAGTATAAATACTACAGTATCACATGTGCACTATAAATACTACAGTATCACATGTACTGTATAAACACTACAGTATGACATGTACACTATAAATACTACAGTATCACATGTACTGTATAAACACTTCAGTATCACATGTACACTATAAATACTACAGTATCACATGTACAGGATAAATACTACAGTATCACATGTACAGGATAAACACTACAGTATCACATGTACAGGATAAACACTACAGTATCACATGTACAGGATAAATACTACAGTATCACATGTACAGGATAAATACTACAGTATCACATGTACAGTATAAACACTACAGTATCACATGTACAGGATAAATACTACAGTATCACACGTACAGGATAAATACTACAGTATCACACGTACAGGATAACTACTACAGTATCACATGTACTGTATAAATACTACAGTATCACATGTACAGTATAAACACTACAATATCACATGTACACTATAAACACTACAGTATCACATGTACAGGATAAATACTACAGTATCACATGCGCACTATAAATACTACAGTATCACATGTACTGTATAAACACTACAATATCACATGTACACTATAAACACTACAGTATCACATGTACAGTATAAATACTACAGTATTACATGTACTGTATAAACACTTCAATATCACATGTACACTATAAACACTACAGTATCACATGTACAGTATAAATACTACAGTATCACACGTACAGGATAAATACTACAGTATCACATGTACTGTATAAACACTACAGTATCACATGTACACTATAAATACTACAGTATCACATGTACTGTATAACTACTACAGTATCACATGTACAGGATAAATACTACGGTATCACATGTACTGTATAAATACTACAGTATCACATGTACAGGATAAATACTACAGTATCACATGTACTGTATAACTACTACAGTATCACATGTACTGTATAAATACTACAGTATCACATGTACAGGATAAATACTACAGTATCACATGTACAGGATAAACACTATAGTATCACATGTACAGGATAAATATTACAGTATCACATGTACTGTATAACTACTACAGTATCACATGTACAGGATAAATATTACAGTATCACATGTACTGTATAACTACTACAGTATCACATGTACACTATAAATACTACAGTATCACATGTACAGGATAAATACTACAATATCACATGTACAGTATAAACACTACAATATCACATGTACACTATAAACACTACAGTATCACATGTACAGTATAAACTACAATATCACATGTACACTATAAACACTACAGTATCACATATACAGTATAAATACTACAGTATCACATGTGCACTATAAATACTACAGTATCACATGTACTGTATAAACACTACAGTATGACATGTACACTATAAATACTACAGTATCACATGTACTGTATAAACACTTCAGTATCACATGTACACTATAAATACTACAGTATCACATGTACAGGATAAATACTACAGTATCACATGTACAGGATAAACACTACAGTATCACATGTACAGGATAAACACTACAGTATCACATGTACAGGATAAATACTACAGTATCACATGTACAGGATAAATACTACAGTATCACATGTACAGTATAAACACTACAGTATCACATGTACAGGATAAATACTACAGTATCACACGTACAGGATAAATACTACAGTATCACACGTACAGGATAACTACTACAGTATCACATGTACTGTATAAATACTACAGTATCACATGTACAGTATAAACACTACAATATCACATGTACACTATAAACACTACAGTATCACATGTACAGGATAAATACTACAGTATCACATGCGCACTATAA